ATAAATAATAGGGCAGTTGTCTGTATCAAAATGACAACTGTATTTTCTCCATAGGAATTAATAGCAATATTTGAAGAATTGAGGACCTAGTTGAAAATTTGAATTATTTTTTTTGAAAGGAGTATCGATTGAAAATAAAATGAATGAATGAAAATTTTAATTTTAAGATTTTAAAAGCAAATGCCAAAACAGGAAAAAAAAAAGATATCTCCGGACCGAAAATGAAATTAATTCCTTCTGAGATTACTTCGTGAAAAATCAGACACTGGTAATTCCAACCTCGGACCAGTTTACGGGTCAGAATCCGAAGGCTGTGCAGAATTATTCGCCTTGCATATTTTCAAGTCATAGTTAACCGTGTTCGTAAGTTTGTTTTTACCTAACAACACTCACACCATTTTCTTTAACTTAAATTAATTCTGAGCACGCAGCAACATTCGTTTGTGAGCTCTTTAGGCATTCGTTCATCGATCTCTGTATCTAATAATCCCCATCAAGGTGAATAATCTCTCTCTCTCTCTCTGTAGATTTCAGTTCACGAGTCGTTATGTTATTCCTCTTTTACTCAAATTTTGTTCCTCTATTTAATTTGTTTTCTTCCTTTAATGCATGACCTTATAGTACAAATCTGATCGTCATTAGTCGATTTCATCAGATTGTTTACAATGTGGGGGATTATTAGGCAAAGAGTCAACTATGGAGCTGCCTCTGCGTTGGTAAACATGCCACGTCTTTTGTTATTCGCTTCTTAATCTATTATTTAGTATTAATTCCGATCATTATTACGTAAAATTCTTTTTATCTGAATGAACATATTGGTTAGATTCAAATATTGGTATCGTTTGATGCATGTTGAATGTATGGTTGTTTGGTTCTAATCGTGGAGCAGTCCTTGCAGAGAATTCGACCTGCATTGTTTGCATTTCAAAGTTACTCCTCTGCGGCAAAAGCGGTACTATTCTTGGCTGACTAGTCTGAAACTATTTGCTTAGCAATTTCAAATCACCTTTTCCTGGGTGTTTTTGGGCGTTAAGGCCTAAAATGAATAAAACTGAACTGCTAAGCTGAAGAACAATGCGAGTTCGGTGTCTGGTTAACACACTGCAAAAAGTATTTCTTGTATTTCTTTTTCTTTTAAAGCAAAAGTTACCTCTGTATTTGCCCGAAGTGGGAGAGCTATTTCTTTGTGTTGCATTCGTAAAAGTAGTGTTTATAATACTTGTATAGTCTTCTTCACTTTACTCTAGAGTATATATTCATTAAAAGGAATGGGACATCGGTTGCAAACCAAATGTTTAGTTCTTGACATAGTAGAAGTGCGCGCACACTAGTCCTTAATCCATATTTTGGTCGTTTAGCAGCTTGAGCATTTGTGCTTATCATATGCATGAAGCAGTTAAAATGATATTTATGCCAGAAGTAGACTCAGAGCATATCTTCAAGAGCTCTATCTATCCCAGAATTTTCTAGATTATGCTATAAGAGGATTTTCAATCAGAATGTGAGCCTTAATGGTTGTTCATTGTTTGGTCTCAATCAAAGCTTGACGAAAATAAGAAAAAGACTTTCTGCTTGAGGTGAGAAAGAAACCAGAATTTGATTTAAATTTTTACCTACTTTTCATCTAAAGTTCCAAGCTTTAAATAGGCAATAAGAGACTACAAGATAACGGTAAATTCCTACATTTACGACATTAAAAATAAAGGATAACGATCATGGGTCACTTTCATTATGGGGAGTTGCTGCTGTGGAGTGGAGCATTGTGGGGAGTTGCTACTGTGGAGTGGAGCGGTTCTTCAGTTGGAGGTGGATAAATAAGACCGATTCTGTAGGTGTGCACGTGCTGTTGACCCGGTCATGCTCCATCAAGATACTTTGGGTTCTTTGTGAGGATATGTTGAGATCTACGGATTTTAACATCGCTCCCTCCTTTTGGAGCAACCTTGTCCTTAAGGTTAGGAAATTGAGTGATGATGTCGGCAGTGTTCTCCCATGTGGCATCTTCAGTGGGCAGATTTTTCCATTGAACCAAGTTTTATTCTACAAATTTACCGCTTTTCTTCAGCCAATGTGTGTTTAGGATTTGTTGTGGGTGGAGTAAGACAATACCTTCTTTGGTAATAGTGGGAAGATCCTTGGTGGTGAAAACTGATTCGCCTATTGGCTTCTTAAGTAAGGACACATGGAAAACCGGGTGGATACGAGCTTCTGCTAGTAGTTTGAGTTTATAGGCGACTGGACTGATGTGTTGCTCAACTTGGTAAGGTCCATAGTACCGACAAGCTAGTTTTTGAAGGGCTCTGTGGAAGACAGTCTGTTGACGGTAAGGTTGTACCTTGAGTAAAACCCAATCTCCTTCCTGGAATTCCAAGTGGCGTCTCTTGGTGTTGACGTAATGTTGCATGCTATTCTGGCCAGCATGGAGATTGACTTTCAGTTGTAGTAATTCATTTCGGCCGAGTAACTGTTGATCTACTTCGTTGACCTTAGTCATACCTGAGTGATAATATGATATGGCGGGGGGAGGTCGCTTGCAAAGGGCTTGAAAGGGAGTCATTTTGATGGTAGCATGATAAGTAGTGTTGTACCAAAATTCTGCCCATGGAAGCATGGAGCTCCATTTATTAGGTCGTTGGTGACCTAAACACCTCAAGTATTGCTCAAGACATCGGTTGATCTAGGATTGTCTATCCGTCTGGGGGTAGTACGCTGAGCTCATTTTTAGTTTTGTCTTTGACATTTGGAAACATTCATTTCAGAAATGACTGACAAATATTGGATCTCGGTCACTGACTATGGTGCGGGGCATCCCATGTAGCTTAATTATTCTGTCGACAAATTTCTCAGCCACCATCCTAACTGTGTAGGGGTGAGCTAGTGCCAGAAAGTGTGCAAACTTACTGAGACGGTCGACTACTACCAAAATGGTGTTCTTGCCATTGGTGGGGGGGTAAGCCTTTTATAAAATCCATCGTAATATCTTCCCAAACTGGACATGAAATGGTTAAAGGTTGGAGGAGACCTGCAGGGACTAGTGTCTCTGTTTTTACTCTCTGACAGGTTTCACAAGCAGACACATATTCTTGGACTACCTTCTTCATAGATGGCGGAATTGCTGCATCAATCTTTTGTATGTGTAAGAGTTGTGGTATCAGATAAGATTGAAAGGGTAGAACTACTCGGTGCTTATAATAAATCAATCCATTTCTTGAGGTATAAGGCCTACCATTTTGCTCTTCTGCCAGTTTAATAAGCTTTTGCATATAGGGGTGTATCTCTATTTCTTTCCTGATGTCGTCTCAAATTTAATTCTGGTGGACGAAGAGAGCGTCCAAGGATGGCCTTTTAACTTGTCTGGAGAGGGCATCTGCCGCCGTGTTTTCTTTGTCTGGCTTATACATGATTTCATAATCATATCCAAATAGTTTGGAGACTCATTTCTGTTGTTCCGGAGTGGAGATCCGCTGTTTGAGTAGGTATTTGAGACTGCGTTGGTCTATCTGAATAAAATATTTTCTGCCCATCAAATATGGTCTCCAAGTTTGTACTGCAATAACAACGGCTAGCATTTCCTTGACATGAGTGGACCAAGAATGTTTAGCGACTCCTAAAGCTCGGCTTAAGCAGACTATGGGTTTTCCTTGTTGACTGAGGACTGCTCCTATGCTGACCCCTTAGACGTCAGTCTCAACAGTGAATGACTCACTAAAGTTAGGTAGGGGCAGTGTGGGGTTGGATGTCATGGCCTGCTTTAGGCTTTTGAAAGCTTTCTCTGCATTGTTGTTCCATTCAAACTGCCATTTTTTGAGGAGCTGTGTCAATTGCCTGACAATGAGCCTATAATCTTTTACAAATTTTCTGTAGTAGCTGGTCAGTCTCAAAAATTCGCGGAGCTCTGTGACAGTGGCCGGACTTGGCCAGTTAAACATTGCCTGAATCTTACTCTGATCAACTTGTACCTCATTCAGTGTGATGATGTGGTCCAATCTAATTCTTGCTAGCCAAACGCGCATTTCTTAAGCTTGATGAAGAACTTATTCTGTTTTAAAATTTCAAACATTTGTTGCATATGCACTAAGTGAGATTGTCTGTACAATAGAATATTATCAAAAAACACTAATACAAATTTGTGCAAATATGATCGAAATATGACATTCATTATAACTTGAAAAGTAGAGGGGGCATTGCAGAGTCCGAAAGGCATTATCAGATACTCGTAGTGGCCATTGTGAGTTCGGAATGCTGTTTTGTGGACATCCTCACGGTGGACTCTGATTTGGTGATACCCGGATGTCAGATCCAGTTTGGTGAAGTAAGTGGCACTGTATAGCTCATCTAATATGTCGTGACCGTTGGAATAGGGAAACGGTCCTTGATGGTGAGTGCCCGGTAGTCGATGCAGAACCTCTAAGTGCTGTCTTTTTTTCTGACCAACAAAACCGGAGATGAAAATGGACTAGTGCTGGGTCGGATGAGTCTGGAAGTAATCATCTCATCTACTTGTTTTTCAATCTCGGCCTTCTGGAAATAAGCATATCGATACGGTCAAACATTGATTGGTTCACTTCCTTCCTTGAGATTAATGTGGTGTGAGATTTTCTTAGTTGGGGGAAGTTGATTGGGTTAATGAAAAAACTCGAAAACTTAGCCAATAGCTTATGTAATTCTGGATTAACAATGACAGAATCGGCTTTGCTGATGGAGAGCAAGCAAACAGCATATAGAGAACGACGTCAACTGGTTTTCTTGCTAATTTCTTCCAGCGAGGTGGCCCTGATGGAGGGCGTCGAGACCATGCAAAAGCCGCCTCTGATTGTTCCATTGGAACGTCATCGTGAGTTT